TTCGGAAAGAATTTTTACAGAAAATTAACAAACGAACACAGAAGCATTACAATATATATCGGTCAAAGAAATAGTTATAAAACAAAAACATTGTCTAAACAAGCGAATGCAGAAATAAATAAAATAAAAGTGTTGAAAAAAAATTAAATGGCAAAGAAGCAAGTTTATAGATGGTAGAAATATGCAAAAAAACACAAGTCTAAACAATGCTGTGTCAATCGAGAAAGTAAGACAAAACGTCTTAGAAAACATTTATTTATGAAACTTTAGATGTAATTAATGTGTTTTGTATTACCTGTATCAATCTAACGTTAATTAGACGCTGTGATTTATATTCAAAAGGTAATTGTTCACATCAGTTTTGGATGTGTGCATGTGCCTTACATATTTGGAAATATATTCTAATCTAGTTCTGTTACTATTTTATTGGCTCTTTTATGTTTTATACATCAAACAAGGCTAATTTTGAATAGAACCATAAAGTATTCATCAGTATATATATATGTGTGTGTGTGTGTGTGTGTGTTTATGTGTTCTAAGTTCCAAATGTTACATAATCTTTTTTATAAAATTATTCTAGCTATGGTTTAGATAGCTAGCAGTGTTTTTTCTGATCATGAAGCATCAAGCTGTTGCTTTTTCTCTGTCCTAAAGAATCCGATAGTGCTCCAAGGAACGTCCAAACTTGTTCTTTAAGCTCGAATACAGTAGTTATACAGTGGGACCCTCCTAAAGAACCTAATGGAGAAGTTACGGTAAGTATAAAATCTTATGAATTGATCATAACATCACATGATTATAATGATAGCAAATAACAGAGGATTTAACATTATTATCCATCTGATGATGAAGGCTGTACGACTTACCATCAGGGTCTTAAGTGGTGCCAGGAACTAGAGGAGGATGTTTGGAGGTTTACCACTGTGATCTTATTGATTCTAATATTTAGTACTATTAGGGATCAGTTGTTATAATAGATTATTACAAGAGTTGCTATTGTATTCCTTGTTGTACCAGGGGTAAAGATCTTACTGATACAAAGTATCAAGTGCAGGAGAGTAAAATGAAAATTCTTCTTAAAGCATTATTGATTTGCTGTGGCCTCTCAAACTGAAAAAAAAATCAAAACAATTTGAATAAGAAATCATATAATTTTAGAGGAAGTGTATCAAATTAAAGGATATACTTTCATAAAAATCTGTATTGATTTACTACGTACACCATTTCATGTATCACTATTGATACTAATACATCACTGTTTAAAGGGCTACAAAGTACACTTTAAAACTCTTCCCAATCTTCCTACAACCAACTGGAAAACCCAAAATGTTGATAGCGGTACACTTACAACAATCAGTGATTTGACACCTCAGACCATTTACACCATCCGGATCCAAGCACTTACCAGCAGAGGATTTGGTCCATTGTCTGCTCCTGTACAAGTAGAAACTCAAGAAGGAGGTATGCAAATAATTATGCAAATAAAGATACTGCTATATAATAATATAATTTTTGTTGATTGTGTCACTATAATGTGTAAATATTTATTGATATTTTTTTAATATCACTGCTCTTATATAAATAGTGCCAAGTCAACCCTCAAACTTACTTGCAAAATCAATATCACCCACGACTGTCCAGCTACAGTGGAGCCATCCAGAACACTTGGGCGAGAGTGTTATTGGTTATGAGTTATACTGGAATGACACTTTTACCCAGAAGCAGGACCACCACACCATTCCAGCCATCAATTCCTACACTCTTAGCAACCTATACCCAGACACAATATACCAGATCTGGGTGGCAGCTAAGTCAAAACATGGTGAAGGAGCTGCCACCCCACCAGTTAGTGTAAAAACTGACCAATATTGTAAGTCCAACTTAATTAAAAATCAATTCCTTTTAGAATTAAGGAATGCTAGTGATTCCTTCCTGCAAAAGTACAATAATTCATTTTAGACATGAACGTTGAACTAAATTAACATATTGTACAATAGAGTAATCATGTCAGTGTATTAAAACATATATTGATGTGTTGATTGTAAGCTATTGGAGGGTTAAGTTTTCTGAAAAAAATAATTTTTAACCATCTTTGTATACATGAGCTGAGAAATTACAGCAAATAAACAGACATAATGACAATATAAGGCTTTTTCGAAAACCTAACTGTAAAATATGCAGTACTAGTGTTAAACACAAGTTACCCCACTCAGAACCAAACCAAAGAATCGACTTACTGTAACTACTGTTCACTTGACTCAGTTATCTATATCCCACTGGTTTTCTTTGCCAGGCTTATATACTAAAAAAGAGGGCATCAAGATCACACTCGAGCTGCCGGGCAAATTCATGATCATTGGAGAAACTCCACGCACGCTACCAGCGCCAAACGTGATTTCTGTTGTCGTAACACTGCCTCTTCCTTAGTATTGTTCATCCCAAACTATAGCCACTTACATTAAACCAAAAGATAATTAACAATGGCTTAATTAACTGTACAGAATTTAATTTAATTTCGTACTGGTCTCCATCTCATTGGCTTCTGCTTCACGTGGGGTTCATCTGCTCCATTAGGAAATGTCCTCTTATCAGTAACAGGCACATCAGTGGTAGTAACTTCATCAAGGGCTTTACTGTTTCCCTTCTCAAAACCGGGTAGAGTTTCTTCTTCGACAGTGGTTTTTTTCAGGTGACACATCTTCAGCAGCACTATTTGTTCCATTGTTCACTTTGTTCCAACTAAAATGTCCTTGACCATTATAATGCCAAAGCCTGTTGACATGCACCACCTTTGGCTTTCCTCACCAACAAAATGTAATTCGGAAAGTCATGTCTGAGTGACGATCCACTCTTTGATCTTCCTGGGATTATACAACCACACCACATTTCCTGGTACAAAGCTGACTTCAGTAGATTTCTTATTATAACATAGCTTCATGGAATCAGCAGACGTTTTTAAGTTTGAATGCACTTGATGATGAACATCATCCATCCTTTCAGATAACACTTTCGCGAACTCTGGCACATTTTCAGGCAACTCTTCATAAGGTGGGCGTCCTGTTATCAGATCCATTGGCAATCGAAGTTCGCGACTAAACATCAGCTTTGCTGGAGTGTATCCAGTGGCTTCATGCTCTGCTGTTCTATAGGCCATCAACAGTGGAGGGAGTAAGACATCCCAGTCACCTTGGCGACTATTACAAAACTTGGCCAATTCCTGTCCCAGTGTCCAGTTGTACTTTTCTACCATCCCATCAGACTGTGGGTGAAGTGGCGTTGTCCTGGTCTTTCGGATGCCAAACAACTTGCAGCATCCTTGGAACACAGCTGATTCAAAGTTACAGCCTTGATCTGAATGCAGTTCGTATGGCATACTAATCCTGAAGATGAAATCACTAATAGCCGAAGCTACAGTTGTAGCTTCCTGTTTTGGTATTGCATATGCCTCAGGCCACTTAGTGAAATAATCCATCACCACACAAATGTATTTGTTTCCAGCACGAGTTCGTGGCAAAGGACCAGTAATGTCAATGGCTACTCTTTCCATTGGTGCACCAACTTGATATAACTTCATTGGAACATGTTCCTTATGCTTGGGTCCTCTTTTAGCACAACATGTACTGTATGTCCTGCACCATTCTTCCACATCTTGCCTCATACCTATCCAGTAAAATCTCTGTGGTAGGTGACTCAATGTCTTCTTAACTCCAAGATGTCCTCCAGTTAAACTATCATGGGATTGATGCAGCACAACTTCCCATAACTTTCTCGGTATAACTGTTTGCCAGGTCATCTCTTTCCCATCTACAGTTTCCCATATCCGGACAAGAATACCATCTTCAAACTTCAGCTGGTCCCATTGTGCCCAATAGTTTTTTGTCACAAAGGCTTAAGCTAGACACCTTCTCCCAAGCAGGGCACAAAACACTCACTTTTAGAAAATCAATCATTGGCTTCAAATCTTGGTCTTTTTTCTGTTCTGCTTTAATATCTATACCTGGTTCCATTTCACCATCATCAACTCCTTCAGTCACTTTCACTTCAGCTTGATGATATCTGGTTAGTTCGACCTCTCTTTTGCAGCAACGTCTGCAGTCATCTTTGCAGGGTCTTTGGCTCAATCTATCGGTATTTCCATGAGATTTTCCTTCTCTGTAGTTAATATCATAATTATATTGGTCTATCTTTCTGATCCAACATGCCAGTTGACCCTCTGCGTTCTTTAATGATCTTAACCAGCGTAATGCAGCATGGTCTGTCCTGATGTTAAACCTGGCACCATAGGGATGGAAATATGTCAGACTCTTTACTATAGCAAGGTGTTCCCTTCTAGTTACACAGTAGTTCCTCTCTAATCTACTCAGGCCACCACATGTTCGTTTTCACCCACTTTCTGAGACAACACTCCTCCAATTCCGACATTACTAGCATCACAATCCAGTATTTACGGCAGTGAGGGGTCTGGAAGCTTTAAAAGTGGAGCTGAGGCCAATTTTTATTTCAATGTCTTGAAAGCATACTGGCAAGAAACTGTCCATTCAAACTTCTGGCCTTTTTTTTTGGTTAAATCATGTAGTGGAGCAGCTATAGTTCCTTCACAAACTTCCGGTAATAGGTACAAAGTCCCAAGAAACTTTTTAACTCTCCCACATTGTCTGGTGTTGGCCAATCTCGCACTGCTTTCACCTTGTCAGG